TAATTTTTGGCCAGAATTATAATATACTAATATAAGAAATTTTTTATATAGTCACATCTCTTTATAATTACCAAATATAGACTGTTCCAAATGCGTGACTATAAAAAGAGTTGACTGTATATAGCTACTATCTGATATATATCTGACATGATATTAAATATACAATATTTATATATATATATATTACCAATATTTTACTACCTAATATATGTGTGTTAAATATATGATATCTATAAGATATGTCACTGATATTTGACTACCTGATATGTGTAAAATGTATATATGATGTTTATATAATGTATGTATTACCATTTTTTTACATTTATACTACACATATCAGGTACTATCCAATAATATGTGTAGTATTATTAAATATCATACATATATATCACATATATTATACACATATCAGGTACCTAATATGTACTCAATAGCATCAATTTTGACCAGTATTAATAGACTTTTCGAATGATTTAATAAAATACTATATGAATTATTAGCAAAATTGAATAAGATTGAGAATTGAAATCTAAAAATTTCAAATGTATTATTCATATACTGCACTAAAAAAAGTGATTTAATAAAGATGAAATTAGAATATTTTAGAAAATTTTTTGAATGCAAATCTATACAGATTTTTAGAAATTATTTCTGCACAAACTTATACCTTAACATAAAGTATTGGAGGAAAAATCTAATAAAAACTGTGCAGATTTTTGGAAAAATGCAGAACTGCACAGTTCTGCAGGATTAAATTTATGCAGTTCTTCAAGTTATTAAAAATATGTGCAGAATTTTAATAATAAATCTGTGTATTAAATGTAATTTATCTACTACTATACAATATACATTAAAATATAATATTAAACCAGTGTTGGGTTTTGGACTTGTCCAATTGGTTTTTTGAATTGGACAGTTTTGGACGGTCCAAAACTAGTTTTGGACCGTCCTAAACTGTCCAAAAGTTCTATGGGTTTTGGACAGTCCAAAACTGTCCAAAACTGTCCAAAACTAGGTTTTGGACTGTCCAAAATTGTCCAAAACTGTCTAAAACCCATATTTAGTAAGACTAAGAGATTATATGTAGATCATTTCAAGATTATCTTTTTTTTACTTTTGTTCATAACTTCGTAATATTTTTTTTCTTTATACTCTGCTTATAAGTTATAACCTTACTACATTTACACTTTAAAGTTTAAATTTAATAATATTTTAACTTATGCCACGTGGAGGCCGACCTAGGCATATTCTTTTTACATATGTAACAATTTTGAAAAAAACTAATTCAGGAGACAAAGACCGTCAATGTATTTGCAATTGTTGTGCTGAGGTTTTAAAAGATGATGCCAAACCTATAGTAAATAGAAAGGAAAGAATTAAAAAACATTTAACAAATTGTAAATATTTTTGGGACAAATATAAAGGAGAAGCAGAGGAAATACTTGGAAATTGTGATGTTGATGAAGAAATGCCACCATCTAAACATATACGTATTGATGGTAAGCATATGTATTTTTTTTAAGATTTTTTAAAAAAATATGTTTATTAATTAATTGATTGATTGTATTTACAGATGATAGTGCATCTATTTCAAGTTTTAGTACAAATTCTAAGTCCTCATCATTTAATTTAAGTCGCCGGTCATCTGAATCTTATTATCAATCATCAATATCCAAATTTGCTGTACGTGATCAAAATAAATCCGAAATTCCTAAATTCCATGATCTTTTAATTAGGATAACAGTATCTAATGGCTGGTCATTTCAATGGGTTAATAATCCTTCAACACATGCTTTTTTTCATTGGTTAAATCCAAAGTTAAAGTTGCCAGATCGAAAGCAACTAGCTGGTCCAATATTAGATCAAGCTATTAAAGGTATTGAACAATTACGTAAAGAAAAGTTAAACCAGGTACATGAACAAGCTGGTATTACTCTTTCATTCGATGGTTAGAAAAATATTGTAAATCAAGAATTACTTGGAATTATGATTATATTACCTTCTGGCGAAACTTTGATATGGAAAGCAGTAGATATAAGTGATCAAAGAGGACGTGCAATTGATGTTATACCAAAAATAGAAGAAATATTAAATGATTTAAAGGATCAATCAATTAAAGTAGCCGCACTTGTGAGTGATAGTGCTGCGGCATATGCTTCAGCACGGTAAGTTGATTGTGTATTTATTATTTATTAATTAATTTATTTTTTTTTAATTTATTTAATGAATTTTTATTTTATTTAGACAACAGCTTCGTCTCAAATACCCTCAATATGTATTTTTACCATGCTTTGCACATCAATGCAATTTAGCTGTTGGAGAGATTTTTAAAGAATCTAGTATCTTGAAAAATGCATCTACTAATGCCGTAAAATTGGTTAATTATTTTAATCATCCTAATAATGTGTATTTTATTGGAAAATTACGAAATATTCAACGAGAACTTTACTCAAAATATTATGCAATAATAAGACCCGGCGATACAAGATGGAATTCTTATTATGAATGTTATTTAAGTTTAATTCGGACTAAACAGGCATTGAGAGTAAGTGAAATTTATTAATTAAATATTAAAAAATTAAATACTAATTTATTATTTTTTAATAGAATTTAGTTACTCGTTATGAGCCTCATAAAGAAACTTCATCAAGATCTACTGAATTATACCTTCCAACTGATATCTGCCAAATAATTATGGGTGATTTATTTTGGTCCCGTATTTCACAACTTGCAACATTGATGAAACCTTATTGTGGAGCACTTGATAAATTGCAAACAGATAAGGCTCGACTACATGATGTTGCTTTATCTTTTGGATATTTTATTAAATTTTGGGAGCAGAATACAGATCGATTCTTGTCTGAAGGCATAATTTCACGTCTTGAAAAACGTTGGAATGACTGGGAACAGCCTATACTACTACTTTCTCTTGTACTTCATCCCAAATATCGCCTTAACAAATTTAATCCTGACTTAGAAAAAATCAATTTTGTAACAATGGGAACTTGGCTTGATTATTATTATAAAGCTTGGACATCTGAAAAGCCAACAAAACTACTTGCACAATTTGAATCTTATCAAGTTAAAAAACCACCTTTTAATAATGAAACATATGAGCAATTTGGTGATGATGTTTTGGCATATTGGTATTATTGTTCTACAATGTGCAAGGAATTAGGATTTATAGCAACAAAAATTTTCAGTATTTGTGTGAATTCAGCCTCTGTAGAACGATTATTCTCATCTATGGGATTTTTGCACACTCCTCGAAGAAACAAATTAAAGGCAATATTGTTTTGTTTTTTATATATTATTGATATTTACTAATTAATTTTTATTTATTTATTTAGCATGAAAGAGTTGTAACTATGGCTCAACTTCGAGCAGATATTCATCAGACTGAAAATGAAAAAAAAAGGAAACGTGAATCTGAAAAAATAAAGGTAAATATTACGCCACCAATTATTGAATCAGATGAACAAGAAACTGGTAATACAGAACAAAATGAAGCTGAAAGAATACTTGAGGACTTACAAGAAACATAAAATTACATAACAACTGAACAAGATTGGACTGAACGTCTGAATGAATGGAATGAGCTATTAATGGAAGAAGAAAGAGCACAGAATCTGAATGTTACAGAGGAATCATTAAATTGTAGTGATAATGATCTATTAAATTCATATATCCATCCTGCTATTAATGCTGATGCAAAGTGGAACTTACGAGATCTTTTTATTAGAGAATTGGAAAGGCCAGAATTTATATCTGTGTCTTCAGAATTTAATTAGTTAAATATGTAATTAGTTTATTATAATTTTTTTCGTTCAATATATAATATAATGTTAATAATAAATATTAAATAATGGCTTAAAATTTAGTAATGCTAATATAAATTTGTAATTAACATTTATTTTATATAATGCTTACCAGAATTGGTTATAATTTTGGCCCAAATTAATTTAATAATCACGTAATCTGTCCAAAACTTGTCCAATGAAAAAAGGTTTTGGTTTTGGACAGGTTTTGGACAGGGTTTTGGACAGATGTCCAAAACATCAAATTGTCCAATTGCCCAACATTGATTAAACTATATATTATCTTATAACATGTAATGTATGTTAAATGACTGAAAAAGGCAAAAAAACAAAATATTAGCAAGAATGTTTCTTAGAAAAAAAAGTTTTCAAAAGTAATGTAACATTAAAAACTTATCTAGGTTCTAATAGAAAATATTTTTAAAAAAGTTTTTGAAATATTTTTTAAAAACTCATTTAAATTTTCAGAATCGAAAGTTGAAAAGGAAACCTATAAAAAAAAGATAAAGGAAGTATTAGTAGTAAACACTTCCTAAATATAAAAAAAAAACAGTTTTTTTTTTAAAAAAAAAATTGAAGTCAGATAAACTCATCTAATAATTTAAACCTAAAATTTTTTTTATATTAGTAACTGCAATTAGCATATGAAAATAATTATAAAAAGTATATATTAATCTTAAATTTTCAAGTGGATCTTATAGTCTATTAGGTTTAGTAGACATTATAGCAACATGTTAAAATAGTGTATTTCAAATGTTACCTATCTGATTAACTATTATAATCACTCAACAGTGCACATATGGAGTTTTATATCAAAATGATAAATAGACAGAATAGTTTACAAATTTATAATAATATTAGAATAGTTTACATTAACGTTATTCTAATAGTATCATAGTTAGTAAAAAAAAAAAAAATTAAATTTTCAAGACATTAAAATTAAATGATAATATATAATATATAAGAGTGATATGATTGTAAAAACATCTGATTGTATATATATATCATTGCAAATTTGCAATTATACTTTTAAAATATAGTAAATAAAAATAAAAAAGTTTATTTTTTATTATAATTTTATTATAATGATTTTTTTTTTTATTATAATTCATTATGAACACAAAAACAGTGTCCACATGACATGCGATTTTCATCTATTTAAACAACTTTTACATTACTGTGCAACAATAAATATTCATTCTTTCCTCTTTCTAACGCCAACGTTTAAATAACAGTTTTTAACGTTATAAAATTAATGGCGGAAAATTTTTTATTAGATTTATCACAAGATATTGGTCAACTTCTTACTACTGGAGATGGCCATGATTTAATTATTCAAGCTGGGGAAGGTCAAAACATGAAAGAACTCATTGCGCATTCATTAATTTTAAGTGCTAGGTCAACATATTTTAAAACTGCATTATCAAAAGAATGGGCAAAAAAAGAAAATGGTGTAATTATTTTCAAAAAGCCAAACATTTCTCCGGAAATCATGGAATTAATTTTAAATTATCTTTATACTGGATTAGTTAATTTCGATAAGCAAAATAGTGTAAAGGTGTTGAAACTTTTAGTGGCATCTGATGAACTGAATTTGCAAAAATTAAGTGATTATATTCAGACTTATCTGATTGATAATCAAGCAGAATATTTAAAGAATGATCCTGTTGATGTTCTTCAAATTACATTTCGATATGAGAGTTGTGAAGGCTTACGTAAATTTTGTTTAGATTCTATCTGTGAAGAACCTAAAATACTTTTTGAATCTCCAAAATTCACTTCATTGGAAAAAGATCTTATTATTCTTTTCTTAAAAAATAATGAACTTGAAATGGAAGAAATTGAAATTTGGGAATTCGTACTTAAATGGGCTCTTGCAAGAATGTCGACTCAACATAATGTTGATAATTTATCCCAATGGACATCAAGTAATTTCGAGGAATTAGAAAAAATCCTACACGATTTAATTCCACATATTAGATGGTTTCAAATTCCTTCAAAACTTTTTTGGAGAAAGGTTAATCCATTTAAGTCAATCTTTCCAAAACAACTTTATGAGGATATTATGGGATATTATTGTGATCCTGACACACCACCAACTAATGCAATATTACCTTTAAGACGTAATTTATCTTATATTGATTCTGTTCTTATCGAAAGAGATCATTTATCAATAATTGCAAGCTGGATTGATAAAAAGGAAGAGTCTTTTTATAATACTAGAAGTACTCCTTATTCATTCACACTTCTTTATCGTGCAAGTAGAGATGGATTTGAAGCTGCAAAATTTCATGAGTTATGTGATAATAAAGGTTCGACTATTATGATATCAAAATTAA